GGGCACCGTGTCCCCCGGGGGTGCGGCCGGTCCGCGAAGGGGGTCGCCGCTCTCACCCCACAGTCCCCCTGGAGCGGCAGGGGACAGGCGCGCCGGGTCTCGGGCGCCCGACCCCACCCGCCGCGGCCCCCTCACCTCGTGACACGCAGGAGCCCATCACGGGCCGCGGGGCCGCGCGCTGCGCCAGGGTGCGCCGGGCCGCCGGGCGCCTCAGTCTCCGCGGCCGGGGCTGCGGGCGGCGGGCGCGGGAAGGGCGTGGCGCGCTCGGCTCGGCTGGCTCGCCTCCGCTCGCGGTCGTCCCCGCGCCGCGCCGCGCGCCGCTCGCCCAGCGCCGCCGCCTCCGCGCCGCGCCCGCTGCTGCCAGGGCGGGCGACTCCGCGGGCGGGCGGGGCCGCGAGCGCGGCGCGGGAGGCGGGTGCACCTGTTGCCAAGGCCGGGCGGGGCGGCGGGGGGCCGTGGGTGACCCGGCTGAAGGTCAGGGAAGGGGACGGAGGGGGGCGGGGAGGTTCTGGCATTTGGGGCACAGCATAAACAACATTAACTTAACAGCGAGCACTGGGCTGTGCTCGATTAGGGTAATTCCGGTAGGCCCATTTTGCAGAGGAAGAAACTGAGGCTGCAGAAGTCAGAGGCCTTTAGCTGTAAAATCAGTGACTTTGACTGTCACGCCTCGTTTGGAGGACACTGGCCCAGGGGTAGGGGTGCAGAGGGTGGTGCTAGCGCACTGTGGCCACATTGCTGGAGGAGAGGTCTCTGGCAGTGGCTGTAGGGAGGGGTGAGACTGCTCTCAGGGCTTGTCTAGGGCATGGTGATCCGAGGCACAGGTCCTTTCCCCAAGCCTGGACGGCCTCTCCCATCACGCACACTCACACGCTCACACACACATCTGTACACACGTGCCTCTCCACACACCCCAGTTCCTGGGGACGGCAACTAGAGGTCCCTTAGCAAGCCTTCCTGTGCACATAGCACTCAGCAGCCGAGGCACTCACTGTCACAGACTGCATCCTGCTCCGTCCCCATGTCCCCTTGCATCCTGGTTTACCATGAGGCCCAGCAGGGTTTGGAAGGGTTGGAGGCAGGGGCCTGGGTAGAGCTGGAGGCCTCTGGCAGGGCAGGATTTGGGCCTGGGGTGGATACAGGGCAGTTGGGCCTGGCTGGGGGGCTGGGGGGTATTGTCCTCTGTTTCTTTCTGTAAGCCAGGTGTCCTCTGCTGAGTCTCATCCTGGTGGAGCGTGGTTCTGTGCCTGGCCTTGGTGTCAGCAGACCTGGGTGTGAGTGAGGGCTTAGCTCACAGAAGCTGTGTGACCTTGGGCGAGTTGCTTCACCTCCCTGAGCCACTGTTTTCTTATCCATTAAGCGAGGGTAAAAATGTCACCCCATGGGATTGCTGTGAGGGCTAATGAAACGACACGTGCAGAATGACCGGCACACAGCAGGCACTTAGCTTAGGGCTAAAGATGAATATTAATAATAGCGACAGCGAACACAGACATGACTCGAATCATCACCTCCGCACAGCTCCTTGTCCTGAGAACCTGCATTCAGCGGGTGGGCATGAAGGGCCTGCCACGTGCCAGTGTGAACCGGACAGACGTGCGGGTCCTCAGGCCAGTGCCGTACGCAGTCACACGTGTGATGAGCTACCCCCGCTCTGCCCTGCAAGTCTGGCCTCAGAGAGGGTGGCTCTGAAGGGACAGCCTGTGGTCGCCGTGCACACCCGGTGCCTTGCCCAGTGCCGGGTGTGTGCCTGCCCTGGTGTGGAGGAGGAGAGACAGGTCTCCCTGCGGCCGGGCTCTCGGGTCCCGTCCTGTGCGGCCCAGGCTCGAGGAGGCAGAGGTGTCCTTTCTCTTCTTCCTGGGGCGGGGTGACTACATGGAAGGAGGCTGTGCCTCACCGTGACGCAGGACGCTCCATCACGACTGCTGATGTTCCCAGCTGCGAGCCTGGTGGCTCCAGCAACAGGGGGACCAGAGACAGGACCCCCACAGAGAGGACAGGGTTGCTCACAGCGGGGAGGATGCCTGGGGACCCCACTGTGCCTCCTTCAGCCTAAGCTGGTGACAGGAGGATGAGGCAGGCCAGTGACCCACCCAGGGTCCCTTGGTGACCAACTCAGAGATATGGCTGGGCTGGGCTGGGCTGGTTCTGGCTCTCCTGGCCTCTGGCATTCATGCCGGTCACTTCCACACTGACTCAATCCTCTCGCTGTACTGACTGGTGCTCAGAGAGGGGCATGGCCTTGCCCAAGGTCACACAGCAAGTTGAAGGCTGAGTGGGGACTAGAACCCAGGTCTCCCGCCTATCAGCCCAGCCCTGGCACCAGCCCGGGCCTGGGCCACGCGGGGCGGCGGCTCCCCTTGCACGCGCACGTTCACCTTCCCAGTCCTTGGAATTCTGCTGAAGCGGACAGTGTGCAGACAGCTCCGAGATGTGTGGTTGTCCTCCCCCGGGGCAGGCTGTCCTTCCCCAGCTCACCCTATCTGCCCTGTGACCTTCCACTGCCCGCCCCAGCGCCCTCCTTGCTGTGCCCCCTCGTGTGGGAGAGGGGACAGGCGCCTACCGTGGGCGAGGGGCGGGGGACAGAGGGTCCAGGCCGTGCCCCTCACCTCTCGCGTCCCCTCCTCCTGTCATGATTTTGGGGAGCCAGGCAGCGCCCCCACTCCTGCGGCCTTACTCCTGTTCATCAACAGCCGTTCGCCAGCCCTGAGTGCCCGGCCGGTGTGGGCGCTGGAGCGTGGAGGCGCTGCGGGGCTGACCGGAGCGAGTTAATCAACAGGAGCCATTACGGCAATGAATCAGACCGCCCGGGCACTCCTGGGGTGGGGGTGGGGCGGGGACACTGCAGGAGCCACGTGCATAAATAGCTCGGGGTCAGGGGATCTGCGCTGCCTCCCCGTGCCAGCCAAGTGAGAGGACGGTCACTTCTGCCAAGGCCCGTGGGGATGGCTTCCAGGCAACGGTGACCCTGGA